GGAATGCTTTACCCTGTCTGCAGGACTGCATAGAGACAGCAGCTGTATCTCAGGGGGTGTGTTAGCACAGTGTCATCTGAGGGCAAGAATTTGTTTATTGGAAAGAATTAACTTAATCCAACAGTACTATAAAAGCTGCATAGAGAAGGTTGGTGCTGTGCAGGACCACAGCTCTGCTACTCGATCAGACTGACAACACAGTCCCTGTGTATTTCCCCCTGCATGTCCATCCCACCAAATACTAGCAGGAGATGCACGACTGTGTCTTCAGCGCACCCCTCCTCCTTTGGGCTCTTCTGGAGGGGCTCAGCTGTGTCACCCGCTGACACAGTCGACTCATTCCCAGCTTCGTCTTCCCAGGTGACAGCTCCCGCGTCTCCACTCTTGCCAGCGTGCCAGGGAATGACACACATGGCGTGGTCCAGCCTCCCAGCGGGCAGAGGGGATTCAAACTGCAGGAGCGTCCACTGCTGCTTCTCTGCAGTGCAAAGATACACATACACATCTTTAAATGTAGCTTCACAGGCTTAAAAAGCATACTGAGACAGTGACATCATTAACTAGACTAGTTTTCAACATTATAGAGCATTTAGTCTTGTACTGGTGTAACTCCACTGCAATGATAACTGCTATGGAGGTGAAGGCCAGGAGCTGAGGGGGTGAGGCATTTTCCAAGAGACCGCCATTCACCATTACACAGCTGAGAAGTCTCCCTACCTATGTGATACTTGTACGTGGTATCTAGTGTCCCATCTGGACCTATTCCACCAAAAATGTACAAGTGGTCTTTAAACACAGCTGATGAGTGGGATGCCCGTCCTCCCGGGATGTCACCAGTGGCCGGTATCTTAACCCACCTCATCTCATCTGTTGGAAAAAAAAATTAATCATCTGTGGTTATGCATTCTAAAACACCCACAAGTTTTGTTGTTTTAAACAAACAGGGTAGTATTTTAAGCACTTAAGAAATGATCTTTTAGAAAAAAGGCCCCGAAAATCAAAACACATCACACAACAGCTATTGCTCTACAGCACCTACATCCGTACTTACTTATATCAATGCAGAACAGATCATTGTAAAAAACATCACCAGCTAAACCTCCATGGATGAAGAGTTTGGTCCCAACTGCAACCACAATGTGTCCATGCCGAGGAGAGGGGGGATCCCCATGAGTATCTGGCTGGGACCAGGTCATGGTGGCTGAAAATGGGAGCACACGTGCATTAGGAAGAAAACTCTGGATGCTCTAAAACCAGCGACCCCAGGGCCCTGCTGAGGCTTCCTAAGGAAGCACCTCCAGGGGGGTCAGAGTTGAGTTAATGCCGTATCATAAAGCGCAGACAAGTCCTCCCATGGAGCTCTGTGTGCTCTTTGGGTCACCAGTAGCAGGAAAGATTAATTCAAACTGGAAAGCAAACCCCTTCTGGTGCACACAGGACTGCAACAACGAACAGGACAGCTCTGGCAGTACACGAGCAGCCCAGGGCGATGCCACCACAGAAAGGAACCAGCTGTTGGGCAAACATGACAGCCCAGAGCTTTACACTGCCATTTTGGCCCAAAGTCCCAGTGACGACATACAGGTAAGTGCATGTCAACGGTAAGAAACATCCACCCATCTGTTTAGACCTGTAGCCAAAGCAGGGGCCCAATACTTCCATGGCTTTGACTGATTCTGAGACACAGATCTCCCATTCAGCAGCAGATGGATTTCGCCATTTGGCATAACAGCCCTTCCGGTTATCAGAGGTACCTGTGTCAAACACGTGAAGCTGCTGGTCCTTGACTGGTTCTGCTCCTTTATCTCCCCCTCCGAACACGTACAGACAGTCTCCTATAGCTGCTGAGGAGGTGTGAAACGTCCTAGGCAGCGGCTGAACACCACTCACTTCAGGACTCTCCCAGGTTCCTATTTCTAAGACATTTGATTAACAAAGTAATCAATGCGGTAACAGAAAACGACCTCCACTCCGCTTCCGAGGTGACAGCGGCCAAGAAGGAGCTGGCAGTGCGGCTGGCCCCTGCCGCACGCCCACCTATCCTGCAGCTCGGCACGGGGG